TCACCCCCCAAGGGGGATGGTCACGCCGCAATCCCTTCTCCTCCATTCTCCTCTTGGGATCTTGGGCACGCACGCACACGCGCCCGGCGTGAGTTTAAGCCACCGGGTTCGGGACGCGAACCGCGGTCGACTACGTGGGAGTCCAGCGACATAGCCATTACGCTAACTGCTGGTTCCCCAGAAACTTTTTTTTAAAATGCCACAAAGTACATGTTTTTGTCAGAGAAATGAAGGAGGGGTAAGCACCCCCACAATGGGGGCTTGGTCACACTGCAATCCCTTTATTTCTTCATCGTGTTGGATTTGGGCCACACAGGAGGACACGGGCCTGGAGCATTTTCCAAGTCACTGGGGCCAGGATTAATATGATGGCCAGTCATGTCAGATCTGGATCCGTTAAACACCAGGCTAGCAACCAGAACTCAGAAATTCTATCTTCACCAGAATTACTTCTTGAAATATGTTCCAAAGTGTAAAGTAGAATTTATTTTTTCTAAATATTTCTCATATTTCAAGCAAGGACTTACACACACACACACTTCTAACGCATGTGGAATGGAAACATCCCATGCCTCAAATTCTTTGGCTATTTCACTCTGTCTTCCTTTTTCAGGCATCAAGTCCCTCAAAGACAGCGCTCTTGACTCCTCCCTTCCTTTCCTCCTCTAACCCTGTTCTTGGATGCTCTCTGGATTTCTTCCAACCCTAGCAGAGTCTGTCTTTCCCGCGGTGGCAACCAGTAGTCCAGCACGCAGTATGCCAGGAGAGCAGGGTACCAAAGTGTGGTTTCGCCGGCCAGTCGTGTTTTCTGTCCAGTTTCTAGTATTTGCCTGCCAATGTCCCCCGCGGCACCATCCCACCACTAAGCACATGGGGCCCTCAGGCTACACACACGCAGCTGTGCTCGTTCAACCTCCCCAAGTCCTCAGCCACGTCGGTGCTTAGACACAGAGCGCAGCTCATTCTCTAGGCGGGCTTTAACAAACTAATGGTATGCACGCTCCTGGGTCGTTCCCAAGCATTTCCCTTCTCTAACAGTGAGGGACTAACATCAAAGCGCCAGCTATTAGCAAAGGACTTCCCTGTTACCATGGTAAGTCACTGTTTGTCCCCTGTATTGTGGCCCACTAATACTTACTTCTGCCTAAGGGAAAATAAATGGTCTGCAGGCCAAAAAAAAAAAAAAAAAAAAAAACAACCCTTCAAGTTAGCCCAGACCCACCTAAAACCAGTTCTGAGCGGCTCTCAGGCTGCAGCCCCGCCCAGAGGCGTCTAGTACTCGCAAGGACGTAAAGCGCACCCGCGGCTGACGGAATGACGGCAAGGGAGCGGGGAGGGGACCACGTCCGCCCCGCCTAGGTTCCGGCTCGCGCTGTACGGAAGCGTGGTCGGCGCTGAGCTCGTGCGCCGTACGTAAGTGTGTTTAGGCAC